GTATGTAGGTGTAGTTAGGAGATGATGATAATGTGTGAGATGCTTTCCTGGTATGCTGGCAAATTTTTTTCCTGTCCTTTTTTAGTTAGTTCCTAGCAGCATTTGTGGGTGAAATGGTTGATAAGAGAAGGTTTCTTGTCCTAATTTTCCTTTTTTCAGAAAAAGAATATCTGTGATGGAAGTGTTACTTAAGAGAGGGATCTGATTTGAAAAGAAATTGGCCAGGCAACTGGTCTGGATTGGTATATGTTGAGCTGTGCAGGTACCGACAGTGTGGAGGAGAGGTTAGTGAACAATAGTTGAGGCAAATTACAGACATCCTAGATGGGGGAAAAAATCATAGACCAAGAGTAGAAGGAGTAGTTAGCAGATTTTAAAATATTTGTGTAAACTGTAGTATTTTTTTTTCATATTAAAATATTAACTTGAACTTGGTTCCCATCCCCCTTCCTTAAAAGAGCGTTCAAGCAGAGTAGTCTTTCATGTTGTTCTCTTGATAAGAATTAGTAAGGGAAGTGTTATGGCAAGTCATTTCTTTTTTTTTAGTTTCTAAGGTCTCTGCTTTTTTGCTTGTTGAATTTTCTAACTCTTTTTCACACATACGGACTAACAAAATTCACTGTGTTCCAGATTTTTAGAATGACAGAGTTCTAGTGACAGAGTTAAATATAAAAATTGTGGATTATTTCGATATATTGTGTTTACTTTCTGCCATATAACTTTCCTTTCGTACCTAATTCAAGAGTGCATTTCACTACTTCCATGTTCACCAAATCATAACCACACGAGGAGGTTATTCACCACTTAGGAATGAAAGCCCATCTGTTAGTTATTATCTTTGCTGTGCTGCAGCACTGCAGAATGAGTGCTTGGGAGAAACTTTAAATGCTGTACCCAGTCTTTACTCTCTTCTAGGCAAATGCAGATACCTAGGAAGTGCTACCCTCTTTTGTTAGGGGCATGGGAGTGGAATCTTGGTTCTTCCCATAAGTTAGCAGAAGTTTAGTTGTGGATTTTTAGGACTAGGCCCAAAATAGGTAGCATGATTTATTGTATCCAAATTATGCCAAGTAAATACCTCGATGTTTCCACTCAGTTCTAGGAAAAAAAAATCGTCTTTGTTTAAAATATGTGCCAGGGTTTTAGTTGATCTCTCTCACAGAAAAATTATGAACATTATTATACAAATATGCATTTCAGTAATATTTACAATTATTTAGATGGTTAAAACCTTTTTCTTCTCTTTTCAGTGTCTAGAAGAAATAACCTAGAGATATAACATGGTTGCAATTTATCTTTAATTCCAGATTGCAGATTTTTCTTTATTATTATTAACATTAAAGTTCCTGTAGATGACATTCAGGAAAACCTGATCAGCACGGAATTTCCTGCTGTCTGAATTCATGGAGACAAGTTACACCACTGCGATGATAGCCACAGGCTCCATTTGAGGGGAGCAATGCTTGTGATGCAGTGACCTAATACGGCATTCCAGCCCGTGGGAGACAGATTAGGAGACTGAATTGTTGAATTCCTGGAAGGTGGTGGAATAACTGTAGATAGTGGAAACTACCCTTTGCAGAAACTCATAGATGTTATCAGAAGTGCAGACCCACATTAATTTCAGCATTTTGTGAAAGGTAACAAAGCCATTCGTAGAACAAATGTAACAGATTGTATGGGAACTGATGTGGGATTGCTGAATCTTGTTAAATTTTCTCAATGGTCACAATTTTTGTAGACTTTTAAACTGCCGACTGGCAGGCAAATTTTATTTCTTTTTTTTTCCTTTAAAAAACTGTTATTGTTATTTCATTCCAGCTAAAATCAAAAGCTGTTGTCTGCCAAGATTGTCTCTTTGTGGTCCTTATAGACGGGGTCCTCTTATTAAGCAGGAATCCAGACCTGTTTCTCGCTTTGTGGCATGGGCATAAAGCCTTGCGTGGGGCAAGAAAGTATATTATTAGATAGTGGGTGTCGGATGACGAAGCTGAGAGAATGTATGGAAGGGAGAGGGAAAATATGTGGAAAGTAAATACCAGGGAGGAAAGAATATTCAGAGAGAGGGGTACAAAGAGAAGTCCCGCTGAATACAGTGGGACTTCCCGGGATCGGGAAGCCGTAGTGCAGATAATTTGTATGAAGTGGGCAGTGGGAGAAAAGAGAAAGCAGGGTGAGGGTTTGATGAAAGACATGAAGATGGGGCATTAAGGGAGTCCCCATCTGTCGGGGGATCAGTTCGTTCAGAGCCAGGCTGATCTTCAAACCCGTCCTGGCACGAAGGGCTGGAGGAGCTCATTTAGGATGGCAGCCGCGGTTAAGTTGGTCGCTGTGACTGGCCCTGGAGCACAGCAGAGTCTGAGCAAAAGGGCAGGCTGATGTTGATCATCATTCATTTGTCACTTGAAGTGCACGGGGAAGGAAGGGCCTGAAGGTTTCAGCCAGTTATCAGTTCTTACTGAGCAGGCTACGCAGTCTCAGTGATACAGGACAAGTAGGTAAAACTGGTGATAAAAGAGTGTCTGGTAATGTCTGATTGCCATGTTCGCCCTGTTCCATCCTCGACCTGTGTTGAGACCACTTGCCTGCGAATTCACGGGAGTGCCTGCCTTCCAGTGTTACCCTACAGCCTCAGCTCATCTGGTGATTAATCAGTACAGGAAGATACAACACTTGTAATGCCATTTCATTTTTAGTTTTTGTCCAAACAGGTCTAGCCTTTTCATAAGTAAGAATTGCAGTTGGGTACATATCTAGGTTTCTGGAAAACCCTTACAGGGCAGTCATTTTTTGCCCATAGGTCTGTGTGCTTCACCCTCTGGAGTAGGGCTTTGTTCCACTTGTGGTATAAAATTGGGAAGTTTTTTTTCATGACAAAGTCTTTCAGAGAGAACCTGAAAAATCAGTCTTGCTCAAGAGCCATCCTGTATTAGACTTTGGAATTGAGTGACGTGTATTGGTTTTCTTTTGAGGTCTTTTAAGCATGCACAGTCAAGGAAGAGGTTGACAGGTGGATTAGCAGAAAACCTCAACTTGGTCTTGTGTATAAAGTAGAGGGTGTAGTAGACTGAGGTCTTTTGGATAGCACAGGCAATAACAGCAAACTTTAAAGCATTAACCTCCTTTATTATAGTCTCCCTGAAGTTTACAGCCCACATTATGCACTAAAAATTTGGAAGTTTTCTGTGTCACTGTCAACCAATAAATTTTACTTTAAAAACAAAAAAGATAAAGCTCTGACTCAGTGATCTAACACTTCAGTAATTTACTATCATAAAATAGTTTTAAGTACAAATGTTTTATCTTATGCCAAGCTGGACGCTAAAGATGTTTTGTCTAAAACATGAGATAATGGAAAGTGTATTGTGGCATGTGAATTACTTTAGCCTCTTGGTGGTAAATGTTTGCTTAACCAGAAAAGAATGTGTCAAGATCCTTGCCAAAGGAAAGGTATTGCCATACTTTGCATTTAGAGTACTGTAAATAAAGCAGTAAATATGTTTCTGTTCATGTGTGTTAATCCACAAGTTATGAATGCATTAATTCAATAAGAATCGTAATATACTGTTATCCCTTTTAAAAGGTTTCAGTAAGAAGAGGTCATAATTACTTTGGGTTGAGAGAAACATGAAACCAAATACTTTCATGATGATTGAAGTTGAATATGAGAGAGAAATAATTTTTGCTCAAACTAAGTTTCCCTTAAATCCCAAGAACTCAAATCTGTTTCACCTTCAATATTCTTCTTCTCTGCCGACTCCTCTGATATACTGTTCTTAATCACACATTACTGTAAATCATAAAGTATGTAATTTTCTTCACCCATCCAGTGTTGTTTTTGGCAAAAGAAGACCCAACTGCATAATATGTTAATGATCAGAGAAAGTAAAGCAGCTATGAGAAATACTCCACTTATTGCCAACAGTGTATTTTGGTTTTGAACTTCATTTGTCTTTAACTGATACAATAGTCTAGTAGTAATTTAATAATGCTGATTACAGAAAGAATTGCATAACTCAGATTGCAGTGCAATAATATCAGAGCATCTGTTGGATGCTGCAGTTACAGCCAGTGAAAGCAACAGGGTTTCTCTTTCAAGAGGGCTTTGATATATCCCTTCGTTTCCCCAAAATCTCACATCCAGGTTTCCAGTTACAGGGTTGGGAGGGAATATTACAGTTCTAGGAAATAATTGTGAAGCAGATGCTCAGTTTACTTTTTATTACTGTGGCATCGTTTGTTAACGTACCTGGCTTCACCCTTCAGGGTGAAGAGGAGCCCTTTTCTGGGAAAGGACCGTGCATCCGAGTCACATGCCTCTTGTAACACACATATATGGGGATTTCTACAGGGAGTTTCTTGCAGATGGTGCTGTAAGCAGAGATTTGGTTAAGCATAAACGGGGATATTGTACCATCTTTTAGAAATTGTTGCCCCAGTGGTCTGGGTATCAGAGCCCTTACTTCTACAAAAACAAGAGCTCTAAGCACTTCCAGTATACCTTTGAGTAGTTGTTCAGATATGCTTTTTATTTCATCTTCTCAGTACCTCACTGATAATTCATAAGCAAACATAATAAATAAGGTACGTTACTAACCATGTAAATTAAACCTGTAAAGCTCTTAAGTATAGTATTAAGTGTTATTTTTAATTTAAAATCTAATTTTTATAAATATATCCATTTTGATAGCCCTATGTCCGTATCTGATTTTGGTAAAGATATTCATTAAGAACGTATAAAACATATCAGCTTGTATAGAAATTTGACTTTGATTCTCCTCTTGTTCTTCTGTTTAGATGTTAGGAGGGTTTACAAAAACCTATGTAGCTGGATAATAAAACTGTTTATGTAATTTGAATGAAGAGGTAGTTATTCTGAACATGATATCATCTGAAAATCCTGTGAATTGCCAGAAAGCTTTTTTTTTTCCCCAGAAAGTGTACATTATGGCCTTGGTAGTATTAAAATCCAAAATAAACTTCTTCTTTGTTATTTTAAGGTACCACGAACTGGATGCCAGTAGAAGCCTCCTAGACAATTTGAAAGGCAAAGTAATAATCGAGTATCCAACATTATTTGTGGTCTTGAAAACACTGAAGAATGACATGGTGGTTCTTGGCAAAGGTAAGCATATATTTATTTCCTGTTATGCTATACTTAGATATTTTAGTTAAATAAACAATAATTAAGGACACCTATTAATAATGCCAGGAATGTGCAGCATGTCTTGTATTTCCCTCTGAATCTAAAAGATCGCTATTAAAAAGCTGTTATGAATGCTGTATCTTAAAACTGCTTGCATCCATAAGCTGTATTGTATGTGTTCTTCCTAACTTTTGTTTACTGATGCTTTTTTTTTTTTTGTATATTCTTAGCCACTAAGGTACAACAACTTTTCAGGCTTGTGCTAAATTTTTGGATGTAGCAACGTTTGACAGAGTTGGTTATTTCTAAAAAGTCAAGCTATCTGGGGAAGATGAGTTTTAAGTAAGCCTGCTAATCATACAAAGGAATCATTCTCCATTATTTCCTAGCATAACTCCTAATGTTGGATGAATAATTCTAAATTACAGGATAGTTATTAGAAATTGTAATGACAAACTAGCTCTTCGTGTGGGTGAAAAGCACAATGTTATCTTTCAAAAAGTACTTAGTTGAGGGAAAACTTTCATCTTGGAGTTAACTTAGAGGAGAGTCCAGGTCTAGCAGGAGTTTGTATTTAAGTTTTGAATTTAATTTCCATCTTTCTCCACAGTATAAATGTTTCCTATCCCACTTCGTTTTCTGCAGCTGCTGATACAGGGCATCAGTTCCCTTGTCTCTTAGTCCCCCAGCTAGTCACCTTAGTTATCAAATTCCATACTTTTAAAGTGATGAGCCAGTCTGCAATTTTTACAGATTTCTGAGGAAAAGCTTTGAAATATGGTTGCAATGGCTATTTCCCTGTGGCTACTCAGCTCTAATAAACTCAATCTGAATAGAGTGGCTGTCATTGTCTCCTGAGCTAGTAGGGAGGTTGCCCTTTTAAGGGTGCAGATTCAAATAAGTGTTGGTTGAACAACTATATTTTGAGGTCATGCTGCCTCGACAACTAGCTGATTCTGTAAAAGGCAGACTAGAAGGGCAAAGCGCAGAGAGAGCCAGTGAGAGCTGGGGAAGTGCTGACAGCTCTGTCACAGAGCAGTGCAAGTGTGTATTTTCAAGGTGGTAACCTCTGCTGCGGGGATCATTCAGTTAGCAATCATCCCTGAAACTGGTACTCAGGGAATATTGGCAGCTATTTCAGGTTTGCGGAACCATTCATTTTCTTAATTATTTTTTTTAACTATTTCTGAAAATTTCATAAAAATCAAGTGCATAGCTCCCTGTTGAGGTGTCTTGGGTATAACATAGCAAAACATTATAGCTAATGGCAAAAATATTATGATAAAAGTTCTGAAAATCATGCGTTATTTTTGTACATCATCTTCGTTAACGTATTAACACTTCAGCCTTGAGTTTGATTTGGACTCTGTGTTCTTGGAGCTTTTTCTTTTAAGAGTGGAAGCCTGCCACAGTAACTCTAGATTCTTTCAGGAAAAGCATGTTCAGAACATGAATATAAAAATTGGAGGGCTTTTTTGTTGCTGTTATTCCACTTGAAGACAAAATATCACTTATGTTGAAACGTGGCACAATCATTGTACTCTTCTGTTGTGTATCATCTTTACAGAAAAAAAGGAGAAAAAACGGTATTTATTTACTTTACCAGTTGCATTCGCAGATAATTGTTGAGAGTGGAAATCTTGGATTCACCTCCAGACTTTCCAGGGCAAAGTCTGTTGTAATCAGAGAGGTGCTTTAGCCCACTCCCGTCTCCCAAAGTGACCTTTCTGCTGCAGCATCTTGTGTGTTTCTTGCAGTCCAGTTTCTTCGCCATGTATGGCTTTTTGTATCAGTTGTACACTCCTCCTGAGCCATCCGTCCTGCTCTTGCTTATCCTAGCTCTGCCCATACTGCCTTTCCTTTCTGCCTTCTCCATGCACACCCCGAAGGACGCTTGTCTTGGAGCGCCTGTCCGGCTGACCTCGCTTTTGCATTCCAGGCAAACAGCTGCCACATTGACGAGTGAATATCTGCCAGGGTGTCTGCTGGAGCATGGGGGATCTGACTACTATAGCCCTCCAGACTCTGTTTGCAAAGGACCCAGGCTAGAACAAGAAACAAAGTCTTGTGGGAATTTAGCTGCTAAAATGATGTTTCTTTAGTGAGCAATCTCAGATCTACCCCTTTCCCCAGAAAGAACAAAGGCAAGTTTTCTTAGCCACAGCAACAGGCACATGCTGAGGAAAGATCACTGTTCCCCCCACAGTTCAAGTTACTACCCCCCGAAGACCGGGGGAGAGCTAGAGCTGGACACCTTTGAAAAGAAACTGCTAGAATTTAATGAGGACAAAGCCTATTTCTCCTATCCTCGTTCTTAGAAACAGCTGAAGTATTTTGGCTGAAACTTAAAAAAAAAAAAAATAAGGCTTGAGGAAGGAAACTGGCACTGAAAAATTTAAACCCAGAATTTAAATTTTACATTACAAGTAAATTGCAGACTGTTTTATGGTGGGAAGGACTGGGCAATCTTAATTTGTAGGCAGTGCTATCAACACCATAAAATATGTTCTTTCTGAGTGACAACAATCTATAATTCCTGTTAAATAAAACTTGCTGTAATAGACTAAACTAAAGCTAAAATTTTTCTGTTGAGCTTTGCTGAGTCAGAAGACTGCCACATTCTTTTATGTGATGTTTTGATGCTTGACTTACTTATAGCAAAAACTACAGGTGCTCTGATTTCAGCATACAAGGTCAGTCATGGCTGAAGATAGTAGGGGATTATAGAAGCTTTCACAGGACTTAGGGGCAAAAACAGTCCTTACTTTGTGCATTACTCAGTACATATCTGGCATATAAATGTTAATTGATTATACACTAGATTTAATGTAGACAAAATGTGACCTCTGATGTTTCTGGGTGAAATGCTTCTATTTTCTTGAACAAATTCCATTGAAACTGTACAGGTGCACACTGTGTCCTATGTATTATCTGTGTTTTCCAGCTGTAGAACTTATCTTGACAAGACAGTAACTACACTTCATCAGCTCCCTTTTGGTAGCGTTTCTTTAATGAAGCATCTGGCACTAAATGCTCAAAATTCATAGTCAGATCAAATACTGAAAATAACAATGAGAGCAGAGTGTGAATCATGGGCCTGCTGTGCTGTAGTTTATTTTTGTGCTGCTTGAGTGCCACCAACCAGTGGCATTTGGTGACCTCAGCACAAGGTGACCAGATTCAGTGCTTGTTAAAGAAGGAGTCTTGGGGTGTGAGGCTGAAGACCAGTTTGGGAAATGAGCGCTTCATGATATGATCTCAGCAGAGCACAACAGCCGTGTCCTAAAGCACAAGTTATTGTGCAACTTTAACCTCATCAGCTTTAGCTCATGGACTCACACAGCTTAACACCGTCTTTGGGATGCTGGAACATATGGAAGGAGCACACAGGTGCATCACCTTAATTTTCCATTTCTGTTTAGAACTTCTTAGTAGTTCCCTGTCTTAACTGAAATGCTAATAAAAGTGTAAATGATTTGTAATTCGTTACAGTTGTGATATATGTATGTAGCAACCCAGAAAACAATATTTAAAACAAGTAAGCCAAGAGAACAATTTGAGATTCCCAGTGGATGAAAAGGAAGAGTTTTGTGTAGGATAAATACTCTGCTTACCTACCTGACTGAAAGACCAAGATTTAAAAACTAAAAGAAATTTTCAACGTTGTCTTGCTTTCTCCTTCAAGAGCAAGGTCCCACCCAGGGCTTCATCCCATGCTGTGATACTGATTGTCTTATGAAATAGCTCTCCTCAAGGAGAGTGTGTTTAAAAGCAAAAGAAGATATGAAACTGCTTCTGTTTGATGAACAAACAACATTGCTGAAACTAATTGGTTGCTTGTTTTTTGTTTGTGTCCTACACCTTCAGATGCCAGTGAACCTGCAGAGAACTCGGACAGTGAAAGTTCATCCCTTTCATCTATGGAAGAAGGGGAAATTCGGGACAGTGCTTGACAGTTGTTTGAGAGAAGAGGGTCGAATGCACGTTTTATTTCTATTTTTTTTTTCATTTCATTAAATCTTTTTATTATACAGCTGAGTTCTCAGAGGTTTGGTTTGGCTTCCTTCACTAAAGGCAATGCTTCCAAATTGCCTGCTTATTTTTGGATTTAGTAATGCATATTTAGGGGTGTAAATAAAGAAATAAGGAATTACTGGTTCCAGAAAAAAAATTATATTCTTATTTAATTGCACTCTTTAGTCCACGTGTCTTAAACAAATCAGAGTAACAGAAATTTAAAGTTTCCAAGTAAGTTTCAACAATATATTTTTTCCATTTACCCTAACAGCTCAATGTCTGATTTCAGAGTTTAAATATCCAATCACATATTTGTATTTATATGTGGATTTGAGTCTTAATGCTTAAACTTACTGAAAAATCCACTGATGTTTCATTAGATTAATTTTCTTTTAGGGTATTTCTTTGTCATGCTGAACTGCTGCAAACGATCTTACCTTACTTTTGGCTTAAATCTTCTGCTGTGACATTTTGAGTGCCTGGTGCAATTCCTTTTTTTTTCTTAATTGGTTACATCTTGTTTAATGTGTTAAGGACAGGTCAAACCAAAGTGACATGTTGCTGTGTGTTTGATCTTCTGCCCTGATCTTCTAAATCAGCATGGGTTTTAAAATCAATAGAAATAGACACAGAGTGTCACTAGTGCTAATTAATATATTGGACTTCTAAACAATGTTTATGTTGCGCATCTCATATTACTAGTTTACCTACTGAAGCCAGGTATCATAAATATTTACTGGAATATCAACTAAATTTACCTACTTAAAAACAAATAAACCTTAAAAAAAGTCCTGTACTGTATCATCTGCTGACAATAGAAATCTATTGTTAACTCGTGAGAAGATTTCTAGGTCCCAGACCGCTTACCACTGTGTCTAAGTGCCCGGCGTCTGTGGGGTCTGTTGGAGGACAAGAACAGTGTGTCTTGCGAGTCATGTGAGACAGGTGGGCCCCTCTGCACA